CCTTAGTTCTGTATCAGTATCTTCAGCAGGCTGAAAATCACTGAAATGGTATGATGAGAACTGTCCTCTGTTTCCACAGGCATTTATTTGGGTGTGGGGTGCACAACACACAGGTGTGGAAAATGCCCAGTGGGTTATACAGATGTGTATTTGAAACATCTTTCCACTGTAAAATCTGTCTTGCTGAGTTTAGTCTGTGGATTTGACATAATTGAGTCAATTTCTTGTAACTTGACCATTTAAATACAAATAGATAACACTTGTTAGGCTTTATTGATGGCTTTAGAGTTCCAGGGTAGAAACTTGTGTGCAGTTTTGCCACATCAGCCCTCAGCTGCGGAAATGTGGCTGGTGGTCCCATGTTTTCTGCAAAAAGCTGAGAGAACATGCAAATAAATCTGGTTTGGGGAAAAACTGAGACACGAGTAACCAAAGCTTGCACCAGTCTACCCCTCAGAGTTCATTTTTCCATAACAGGCATAAGAACAGCTCATGGTTTTCTTCAGGCTTGGTTTCTTTTTGTTTGGAAGTCAGAAATGTTCCATAAAACTTCACTGTCTGAATTTGGCAGCCACTTTGAGGGTTCCACTGACATAAAATGACTCATGGCTACTTTTTTGGAAGACTTTGAAAACTGCAGAAGGGTTTCTTTTTAATCACAATGAAAGCCAGTGTATTATGTTCTATAGCCCATTGTTTTCTGCTAAGAATAAATGTCCAATAAAATGATAGACAGATGTGATTTTACCACAGCTTGAAGATATTTTTAAGTCCTAGAACAACTAAATTGAGCTGTTACCATTCTCTTGACCTGTAGCTTTTCTATTTATTAATTACTATTAAAAACCTTATAAAATATAAAGAAGACAATTTAAGCATTACAATTCTCCCTATGTCTTTCTTTTCTTTTTTCCTACAGAATAAGTTTAGGACAGTATGAGGAGGGAAAAAAGCAATTTATGTTAGAAAATGTCTTTTTCTTTCTTTCTATTACAGTTTTTCATCGCAAAACCAATTTTTTTTTTCCTCCAGTCATTCTTGCAGTGTGCTGCCATGACAATCTGTCTGGAAAGGAGGGGGGGAAAAGCTGATTGTTCTCTCAAAGAATATGGAAGTTAATACAGTCTCTGTCAGACCACTATTCCCTGAACACCAGAGGTCCTTTTGACCTGTGGGAAAGCAGCACATGCTAGGGAGAGCTCTGAATTAATGAAGAAAGCAAAATAGAGCTTTTGCCATTAGTGCACAGGGCAGTGCTCAAATGTCCCCTGGAAAGCTCAACTTTCCCAGATGTCACCTTTGGGGTGACCCCACAGCATCAGGGCTGGAAACAGAGGGGGAGAATTCTGAATTCTGGAGTATCCTGAGTCTGGAGAATCCCAAATTCTGCAGCCAGAGCCTGGGAGAGGAGAACAGAGCACAGACTGAGCTACAGAATAAACTCCTATTCTGTGGGCAGCACCCAAGCTCCTTCCATAGCTTTTCAAGCTCACTGAAATAACAGAATCATCATAGGCTGGCAACCATATTTTGTGAATTTTTCAGTGTGGAATTGTCTTATTGATCCACAGAAATAAGGGAGACTGGGCTGAGACTTAGCAAATTTATTCCCATGTTTTCAAAATGGAAAATTAGTCCCAGTCTAATTCAAATTGCTAATGTTTAATTGTGAGGTAGAAAATGTGTTTTTCATAATTTGTTCGATAGGTGAACAGGTAAGACAGAGAATACAATTTTTTAATTCTTATATGGAGTGTATTTGAAATTAAGTGAACTGGTACAAATCAGATCATTTCTTTTCATAAGCAGGCATTGTAAAATGCTCCCAGCCTTACCACTGTGAGGCTGTAATTAATGTTGATAAATGCTCATGTTCTCTCTGTGCAGCTTCAGCCCACAGACAATTGGTTGTACCAGAGCATGTCAAATCTCACATAAAAATATGGCTATAGATCATTGGCTTTAGGGATAGAGTTGAGACAAGTCAATTTATTTCCATTACTAGCTGAATCTAGATTTAAAACTCTGGAGGTCCAAGTGTTTTGTCCATTATGTTCCCAGTATTTCTGGGGTGCTTTGCTGGGATTTAGGCTAACCTGGCCCCCAGCTTTGGAATGCACTGCCAGTTTTCCAAAGTGTCCTGGGGGACATTTAACACATCTTAGTTAACTGTCTTTTTTAACTTTTGAAGGAAGAACTTGTGTACTTTCAGGTGGTGAGATGTCTGATTTCTGCCACTTTGTCAGGTGTCCTCGTATTGAGACAATGAACATTCAGCTTTTGAAATGCCTGGGTAGGACAAAATGTGACAAATTCAGGGTTTATCCAATGACATTCTGTCTTTTTTGCTTTGAGAATGGCATCTTCTCCTTTTCACTCAGCTTTTTCTTCTTCTACCAAGTCCTGATTAGCTTTAACAATATCATAGAGATCCTGTTTGCATGGATAAGTGTTTTGGTTTTCTTTATATATTTTATGTATCTCAAAGTGGATCACGGTGGAGCTGCTTTTTTGTTCTACATTTTTTGTCTTCTCACATGCAACAGGATATGATTGACATGTTCTATTAAAGCATATCTGGATATTCATTAATTCAATTTTAATGGGAGCAGAGTTTCATTATATATCTGAGTTTACTTTAACAATGCTTTATATTAAAATTTCTGTTGGTGCTGTAGCTGCCTTCTCAGCTAAAGAGGACATAAAATTCCTGGGTTTAAAGGCCTTTCAGATAAAGACAGTTCCAAGGACTGCAATTTCAAGGTTGGTTCTGAAAGATCTGCTTTGGGGCAGGGAAAGGGTGAGAACTGTCTGTTGTAGACCCTTCTGTCCAAACCTGAGAGGGCCATTCCTGCCCTGAGGATTCAGAGGAGGAGGAGTCCTGGGATGAGACAGAGGAAGAATTATCCTGGATGAGAGAGGAGCTTTCCTGCCTGCCTTTGTCTCTCTGGGTCTCTCCCCCTTGCTCCTCATGCTCGGTGTCATTTCACCCCCTGGATCCAACCATGGAAGTGATCTTGTGTTCCCAGCCCTGGGGAGCAGCTGGAAAGGACCAAACCTGCATCTGCTGACCAATTAATCAGGTTCTGCCCAGACAGAAGGAGCAGAAGAGTCAATAGATCTGGTGTGGCACAACCAGCCCCACAACATCGTTTTCCCAGCAGTTAGTTTAATTGTACTGTTGCAAAGTAAAGAACCATTTAAAATGAAGGATTCAGGACATCAGGTTTTCTTTATTTCTTGCTTTCTTTTACCTGAAAGATGTTTTTTCATAATTTAAAAGGCTGGTAATTTTAAAGGGAATTCTTTTAGCATTTGCCTTTATTGCTTTTTTCATAGATCACCTATGGTGTGCAGAAAAGGATTCTAACCTCTACTATCCCTTACTGATAAAGAAAAAAAGAAGGCAGGCTTTATTTTTTAAAAAAACCCCAATGTTTCTATGAAGTAACTGGTTAGAATTAATCTAAGTTTGATTGCATATCGGAATTCTTCAAAGCACAAAGAAAGAGTTATGATAGTGAATAGATACTGCCACGGTTTTTGTGTATTTTCTACAACAAACTAGATTTTGGTCACTGTTGAAAGGGATGAACAAGGCCACTTGAAGTTTAAAAACCAATAACAAATGCAATGTCAAAGTGATTTTTTTTTTGTTCATTAATAGAGTTTATAATTGATTCATTAAAAAAGAAAAAACACAAAAACATATTTCCGGAGGTTTTCTCCAAATGGAAACGTTTAATCAGAAATCTGGGGAGCCTAGCCAGCCTTCCTATTACTGTCTTATACCTGTATGCAAGTTCTGTGCAATCTCTTATGCTCTGGGTTTTATTTCGAAACAAATATTCCAAAAAAATGCCTTTAAAATCACTTTTGCTATTCTGTAGAATAGGTATACACTAATCTATGCTTGACAGTAGGCACATTCATGATGGTGGGCTGGAAAGCAGACTTGGGAAACACATTTCAGCCTCCAAATTCCAAATTGTTGTTGTCAGTGAGTGACATGGATTTTAAAGCTCTAACAGGTGGTTTGAGAGTGACATGCTGGATTGTATCTGAATAAAAATGTTCAACATATTTTACATTGGAAGTCAGACCTGGGTTATTTTAGGCTGTGATTTTGATTTTGGAGATTACTGAGTGTCTTCATTCTGTTTGATTCCAAGAAGCACTTGTTTTTCAGAGCTGTGAAGGGAGAGGGTATGGAGCAAATCTTCAGAGCTCTCTGTCCTAAACCCAGTGATTTTCTGTAAGACCACAGCCTTTATTCTGTGCTTCTGTTTTTATTGTTTACTGGGAACTGTCTGTAGTCAGTTCTTCCTAACTGTGAGACGTTAATGTAAAGAAATCAGTCTTCCAGTTTGCTTTCTCCATTTCCTCTGTCTGGAATATGTTGACAGCATTTTATGAGATTAATTTGACTGTATTCTATTATTTTCTCCCTAACCAATGTATGGGCAGCTGAAATCCTGGTTTTATCTGCTGAGTCCTGTGCTGTTGGTAATTGTCTTAGCTGTTCAAACCAAACCTGTGTACTGTTAAAGCACAAAATCATGGTTAATTCTAATTCTGGCAAGATCTTTTCCTACAGGACTATGGGTTTTGCTCATTATGTTCTCAGTGGTTTTGCTGGGAGCTTTTGCCAAGAGTGTAAATGAGACTCAGTGTGGTTTTCTTAAGACATTTTTTGAGTGGTGGATTCCAGAGGGAACTTCCAGACATGGGTCATGCTGGTGTTTTAGCTGGTATGTGGTCAAGTGGCATCTAATTACAGAAAAGACTAAGAAAGATATCCTGACACTGTGTTTTAGTGCCAGCTGTTAGGATCTGGTAGCAAAAAAAGAGGAGAAATTTCATTTCTCTATTTCTTTTACAAAATCCTTTTTGGTTGAATTTACCAGGTGTGACAGCTGGAATGGTGCAGGAGTAGGAGATGTTCTCTCTTAACTACAGGACTTGCCATTTTCAACTCTGTTCCATTTTATGTTTTTCAGGCATTTCTTGTTTAAGACATCTTCTGGAACTACTCCACTGTTCAGCAGTTCTTCCCCTGGTTACCCGCTGACCTCAGGAACAGTTTACACTCCACCTCCCAGGCTGTTACCTAGAAATACATTCTCCAGGAATGCATTCAAGCTGAAAAAACCCTCCAAGTACTGTAGCTGGAAATGTGCTGCTTTATCTGCAATTGCTGCTGCAGTCCTGCTTGCCATCTTGCTAGCATATTTCATAGGTAAGGCTGTGTTTCCTCTCTCCAATCACATGGCTGTGTCACAAAATGAAAGTTCAGCAGATGAAAGGATGGTCAATGTGCTCAAAAATGTGTGTTCGCAGTGAGCAAAGAATATTATTATTCCTTATACTGATTAATGAGGGAAAATCAAATGTTCCAGTCACGTTCACTGTTGTAAGAGCAGTGGAAGCAAGAAATTGATTCAGGATTCTCAACGTGCAGTGTTAACTTTAGGTGTCAGATATGCACATCTCATAAATGGTCCAAACAGAGGGATTTAATGACTTTTTGATGTAGTGCCATATGTTTAAAAAGTATTTAGAAAAAAAAAAAAAGTGATAGGTGGTGAATTCATATAAGGAACAGAAGCCAGTGGCATTTGAATTCAAATATTACCGTCACATTCTGTCTTTAGATAAAAAAAACAAAATTATTTTGATTACTACTTCTCAGTCTATATTGGTCTGTGTGCCTAAATCCTGATGGCGTTACATTTGAATCATAAGGTGATTCCATTTTGCATGCAATTCTTTTCCCTATTCCACTCATCCTTAGCATTTTTAAAGGAAAAATATAGAAACCCTGAATGTTGTGTTTATTTCCCATGATTCATATGTGAATAGTGACCACACTTGGTTCTAATCCTTTCTGTGGTTTTTTGAGATATTTGCAACTTGCTGCTGAGATTTTGTCTTTCTTAATTTAATTAATTTCATTAACTTCTGAATTCCTCACGCTCCCCTGGTCTTTCTCATTCTCTATTGTTGTAGAGGGCTTTTTTTAGGTATCTACACAAACTAACAGTGTATTTTGTACCTTTTAAAGTGCCTTTAACAATATGCTGATGACACTGAAGTGCTGCACACTCTTTAGGCTCTTTGAGTAAATGGCAAAATTATGGTAGCTTGACAGTATTTTCTGTTAATACTTTCCAGATCTATTCTTTGTGGGATTTATTTCCTCTCTGAAACTGTTCTCAGATATAGCAGTCAAAAGATCTATATAAAGATGCGCTGAATTTTCTCTCTTTTTTCTTTTTTTTTTTCCTGATCCTATATAACCTGACTCTTCAGGATCGACACCATTTTCTAAGAAAACCCCATTTTTCATACTAATGAGCTTCCATATATGATTAAGTTATACAATAGTAGGAGAGAACTGGCTGCCTATCCCTGCTGTCTGTTTAGTCCAGACCTACATCCCAGCACACTGACTACTACAGATCTAACCATCTTTCTGTATTTCTCCTGTAGAAAGCTTCAGAAGAATAACAAGCTTAGTTTGGTGTCTAAATGAAAAGATTGGAAAGCACATAATTCATTGAAGTTGACAGTTATCATACAGCAGCTCCCTGTTAGAGTGATTATGCACATGGGAAATGATATACTGCAAGTTGAACGTTTTAATCATGTGCATAACTTTGAAGTGATGGATTATGAAATGTGGTTTTTCCTTGGTATTTAGGTTGCTGTAATCTTAAGCAAAGCTTTGCAACGTGGTTATTGCTTTTTACGCTTTCATTTTTAAGACAAGAGAGAATGTAAGGCAATGTATTGACTCTTAATAATTGATGAATGATCTATCATTTCAAGGAACGGCATAACTGATCCATTTTGACAGAAGTTTTTGAGGTCTTCTTTCCAGCTGAAAGAATGATGAGCACAATAGAGCTGGTAGTGAACACAACAAAGAAGGGTTTAGGAGAGAGTGTTAGCTCAAGGTTTAAATAATGAGAAGTTACCTGACAAGCTTCATGCCATACATTGGAAAGAATAAGTACATGTCACAACCAGAAAATAGCTGAAATTAATCCTATGAATAAACTTGATAGATCCACTTTGATCATAATTTAAAGTGATGGAAGAGAGAGAAAAGAAAAACAAAAAAGCAGCACTGTAGCCTTAGATGCATGAGAAGAAAAGAAAGGTAAAAGTGAAGTGCCTTTGGTAGGCCATTTATGAAATTAATTCTTTCACTCTCAGCAAAAAATCATACAATTCATTGCACATGACAAAGAGCAGGAGTAAGACCATCAGCTATAAACTAACCCTTGCTGTCCTCCAACAGTGTGACTTAAGGTGCTAAATCATCTCCTGATTTGAAAAAAAGGAAAGGCTTTGAAGGTTCTGCTATTGTATTTCTGCCTTACATGTCCACAAAGAAAATTTCTTGCTCTCTACCGTAGCAGAGGTTCCATCACTGGGATTACATTAGCTAAAAGTAAGAGTTATGGAAAAATTCATCAAAATTTGCAGCCAGTGGTTTCTGCTCCTTAGGTCTGTCAGGGTATCTGTGGGAATGTGACTGTGTCAATGCTGGTCCAGACTCTTGCAGGACCAAATGCAAAAGGCAGTGATGGTAAATATGGGGTAAATTATATTCAAAGAGTACTTTGAAGTTCTTATACTCCTCAGGATTTCTAAATGAATTGTCTTATCATAAAAGAGATGGGAGAGTTGATATGGGTGGATCATTGAAAAAAATGATGTCCACAGGTTTAAACATGGGGCTTTGAGATAACAGAAGATTATGGCTGGCATGAAAAAAATTATAATAAGGGTAATTTAAAGGAGAAGTTTAAAAAAAAAGCCATAACTGATGGAAAAGAAAAATATTTTAAAAATTATTAGGCATTCCTATTGCCTTTCCTCCAAAACACAACTAAAAATACAATGAATGAAATGAAAAAGCAGTATGTTTAATGCTCTAAAAATAAATTCATAGTGCATAAATAACCTTTGCAACTTTTTTCCACACTTCATAATTGATGTTAAATAAAGATATTACTGAGATTTTAAGTTAAACATTTGTCAAAATAATGGCAATATGCCTTGTTAGAAGGTAACTTGGGGTTTTATTTTCTTTTTTAAGTTGCATATAGATTGATGGTTTATATCATAATATGTCATCAAAGTCTGGCTATTTAGGTAGATTCTTCCTTTTTAGGCCAGTCAGTACCACTATTATCTGAAATTTTCTAAATATCTCTCTGCAAATTACCCTGACTGATGTCTGGGAGAAAATTCTGCAGGGGTGCAGTGTGCTAGGGCACCCATTTGGGTTTTGTGTGCAGACATTTTCCCTCTCAGACAAACTGGTCTGTATCTGAGTTCCTTGGCACTGGCAAGGTTTCTGCAGAAACTTTAACACAGATCAAATTCACCAGGTTGAAAATAAAGCAGGTGACTTTTGGTCTTCTTGCTAAAGGACTAGAGAGGGGAAAAGTGCAGATGGGGTGTGTGAAAGAGCACTTTAAGATGCTTCTATGACCAATTTTTGTACTGTTTTTAATAGCAGAGAATAGGAAAAAAGTCACTTCAATTAACTTTTCCATTACATGGCATGCACAGGGGTGGCTGCACATTTAAAGCCAGGTTTGTCACTGCTCCCTGTTTCCTCAATAGACAGATGTGGACAAAATTCAGAGTATTATATGCTAGTATTGCACAGCCTTCTGGTAAACTCCAGCATGCAGGATGGAAATGAAATTGTCCCATTCCTCCCTGAGACTCCTGCACCATTTCACAGAGCCCAGGAGTTATTCCTATTATCCAGGGGTGACATATGAAGAATGTAGAAGCAGCCATTCAAATTAGGACATGCTGAAGATATTGGGCTGGTGGTAAAACCCAGTTACAAGAAAGTAATTTATAAAGTGTCAAAAGGAAAGCATATAGCACACATATTGTCTTTGTCAGAGTGTTCACTTCAGAGGTTAAGGGAGTGATGAAAGCATTTGTCATGTTAAATTAGTTTTTAGCTCTTTTGATTCATGCCAAAGTTGGAGGAGAAAAATATAAAAAAGAAGAAAGAAGGAGCGTAAAAAGAGTCACCTTGCATTTTTCACAAAGTAATTGCTGCCAAACATAAATACCACATTTTTGTAAGCCCCTATGCTGCTCTGATTTCTGCCAATCTATCTTTGAGCATCAAAGAACATCTGACCATCAACATGTCAGTACATTAAAAATATGGTAATTTAAATATTTAGACTTTCCTGAAGGGAAAAAAACCAAAACACTGGACTGTTATTTCCTGTGGAAATTAAAAGCTGTGATGGGTTTAAAGATGTTTCACTTGAAAATAGTGTCTTGATACTCACACTGAAACTTATAGATATTGATGCTATTTTTAACTGCTATCATATGCAAGGAGATGCAAAAAAAAAGTAAAGAAAATTTGCATAGACTATGAGAGCAGCAATCTTGCACCACACCTTTAGTGCCTATGTTGCACTTGAAAGTATTATTAGTCATTTATTCCTCACTGTTATTTGACCTTAAAGACACATGAGGTTTAAGATAAATTTCAGGTTTCTGCATAAACTTGAAATAATATATTCACTTCAGGGCCACAGAAAGGACTGAATTGCCAAAGGATCTGGCAGTTAATTAAGCAAATGAAAATGTCCTTCTTTTAGAATTTGAAATAAGAACCTGAAAAATAGTTATTCACAGACTGTAAGATATAGGGAAATAAATGGTTAATTTATGTAGTTTTTCCACTTGTACCAAAGAAGTTTTCCTTTGTTTGTGTAAGAGTCAGACAAAAAAAAAAATCTATTAGGATTTCTGACTTGGAAGTAGAAGTCTCATCTTTGCATCAAATATCTGTACATGGTACAGTTTGCATAAAATTTTATCCTTCAGGTGTTGATATCAACTTATTTTCTTCCCTCAAATGAGTCAGTTTGTAAGAGCTTGGATGAAGTCTGTTGTTCATCCATGTTTGTAAGTTCTTCCACACCTAATTCAGGTTGTCTTTTTGACTCTGATTCCATAGATGAGGATTCATCAAAATAGGTTGCTGAAGTGCCTGTCTAATGCACCTTTTTTTTTCTCTCTCTCTCTCTGAGTTGAACTTTACAAACAGGAGCTTCCATTTCATTTGATTTCTTATCTTGCGTTTGTTTATTGCTTGTGCAGTCAGAAAACCACAGCCTTTGTCTTGTCCAGACTTCGCTGAAATCAAATTTGCTAGACATTTTGGAAAGCCAGACT